GTGGATAGCCAAAATGTGGTACATTTACACTCAGTGAAAAAAAATGGAATCTTGAAATTTTCAGGCAAATGGATGGCACTAGAAAAAACCATCCTGAGTGAGGTAACCCAGTCACAAAAAGACAAACATGGTATGTATACATTTATATATGGATTTTAGACACAGAGCAGGGGATTGCCAGGCTACAATCCCACCCCCAGAGACTCTGGGAAACAGGGAGGACCCTAAGAGAGACATGCATGGTACACCGGAGAAGGGGAATGGGACAGGATCTCCTGAGTGGATTGGAATCATGGAGGGAGGGGAGAGGGAGCGGGGAGAAAAAGAGAAGGAGAAGAGAAGGGGAGAGGAGGACGTGGGGGAGCAGGAAGGTTGAGTTGAGGGAAGAATATAGGAGAGCAGGATGAGAGATACCATAATAGAGGGAGTCATTATAGGTTTGAGGAGAGATATGGCACTAATGAGATTTCCAGAGATCTACAAGGATGACACCAACTGGCAATCTAAGCAATAGTGGAGAGGCTACTTAAATGCCCTTCCCTGATAATGAGATTGACGACTACCTTGTATGCCATCCTAGAACCTTCATCCAGTGGCTGATGGAAGCAGAGGCAGACACCCACTGCTAACCACTAAACTCCTGGAACCCAGTTGCAGAAAGGGAGGAGTGATGAGCAAAGGGGTCAAGATTGGTCTGGTGAAACCTACAGAGACAGCTGCCTGATGGCTGAGAGGCCAGCATGGGACTGATCCAGACCCGCTAAATTTGGGTGTCAGTGAGGAGGCCTGTGCAATCTATGGGGCCTGGGTAGTAGATCAGTATTTGTCCCTGGCATTTGAATGGACTTTGGGAGCTCATTCCACATGGAGGGACGCTCTCTCAACCTGAACACATGTGGGAGGGCCTAGGCCCTGCCATAAATGATATGACAGACTTTGGAGATTCCCCCATGGATGGCCTCACCCTCCATGGTGAGGGGAGGGGATATGAGGTGGGGGCCTGGGGGGGGGGAATGAGGGGGCAGGGGAGGAGGTGAGGGAGAGGGAGCTGGGATTAACATGAGAAGCAAGTTGTTTCCAATTTAAATTTTAAAGGGAAAAATAACTTAAATATTTTCCTAAAACTTCAACAACAACAAAAGAAAATGGGTGAAGACATAAATAAGAAATAGAATTCAATGGAAATGAATAGACAGTGTACCCAAACTATTGGAACCCAATGGAATCAGTGCTATGAGGAAAGTTGATAGCACTAAATGCTTATATTAAAAAAAAAAGATCTCATACTATCACCTTAATAGAACACCTAAAAATTCTAGAACAAAAAAAAAAGTACACCCAAAAAGAACAGATGGCAGGAAATAATTAAACTGCGGCTGAAATAAATAAAATAGAAACAAAGAGAACAATACAAAGAGTCAATGAAACAAAGAGTTGGTTCTTTGAGAAAATCAACAAGATAGACAACCCCCTTATCCAAACTAACTAAAAAGCAGGGGGAAAATATTCAAATTAACAAACTCAGAAACAAAAAATGGGACATGACAATAGACTCTCAGGAAATCTAGAGAATCATAAGGACATACTTTAAAAATCTGTACTCTACCAAACTGGAAAATCTAAAAGTAATGGTTAATTTTCTAGATAGGTACTACATATCAAAGTTAAATCAAAACCAGATAAACAATTTAAATAGACCTATAAACCCCAGTGAAATAGGAGCAGTTATTAAAAGTGTCCCAATGAGTATAAACCCAGGGCCACATAGTTTTAGCACAAAATTCTACCAGGCTGCCAAAGAAAAATAAATGCTCATACTCCTCAAATTATTCCACAAAATAGAAACTGAATGAATATTGCCCAATTCATTTTATTTATAGTTACCCTCATACCCAAACCACATTAGGACTCAACAAAGAAAGAATTACAAGCCAATTTCTCTTTCAAACAGAATCCAAAAACACATAAAAATTATCATCCATCATGATTAAGTAGGCTTCATCTCAGAGATGAAGGGATGGTTAAACATATGAAAATATGTCAATTAATGTAATCCACCGTATAAGCAAACTGAAAGAAAAAAATCACATGATTACCTCAGTAGATTCATTAAAGGCCTTTGACAAAATCCAACACCCCTTCATGATAAAGGTTCTGAAGAGAGCAAGAATACAAGGAACATACCTAAACATAATAGAGGCAATATACAGTAAGCCTATAGCCAACATCAAATTAAATGAAGAGAAACTCAAAGCAATTCCACTAAAATCAGGAACAAGACAAGGCTGTCTACTTTCACCATATCTATTCAATATTGTACTTGAACTTTTACGTAGAGCAATAAGATAACTTAAGGATACCAGGGGGATACAATTTATAAAGGAAGAAGGCAAAGTATCCTTATTTGAATATGATATGATAGTATACATAAGTGACCCAAAAAATTCCATCAGGCCACAGCTATGCTTTTATCCCATAGTTGATAAACACTTTCACTGAAGTGACTGAATACAAGATTAACTAAAAAAAAAATCAGTAGCCCTCATATAAAAATGACAAATGGCTGAGAAAACAATCAGGGAAACAACACCTTACACATTTCAAAATAGCCTTAAATAATATAAAATATCTTGAAGTAACTCTAACCAAGCAAGTGAAAGACTTGTGTGATAAAAATGTCAGGTCTGTGAACAAAGATATCCAAAGATGGAAAGATTCCCCATGCTCATTGACATCTTATCCAAAGCAATCTACAAATTCAATACAATTCCCATCAAAATTCCAACACAATTCTTTACAGACTTTGGAAGGACAATATTCAACTTCCTATGGAAAAACAAAACAACAACACCAACAACAAAAACCCAGGATAGCTAAAGCAATCCTGTACAATAAAAGAACTGCTGGAGGTTTCACCATCCCTGATTTCAAGCTGTACTACAGAGCTATAGTAATAAAATAAACTCAGTTATTGGCATAAAAACAGACAGATGGATCAAGGGAATTAACTGTAGATGCAGACATAAATCTACATACCTGTGAACACCTGAATCCTTATAAAGAAGCCAGAAATACATACTGGGAAGAAAAAGCATCTTCAACAAATGGTGCTGGTCTAACTAGGTGTCTGCATGTAGAATAATACAAATAGATCCATAGCTATCACTCTGCACAAAACTGACATCCACATGGGTTAAAGATCTCAACAAAAAACGAGAGACAATGAACTTGATAGACAGTAAAACAAAAAGCAGCCTTGAACACGTTGGCACAAGAGACAACTTCCTGAACAGAACACTAATCATGAAGGCACTAAGATCAACAATTAATAAATGGACCTCATGTAACTGCAAAGCTTCTGTAAGGGAAGGGACTCTGCTGGTAGGTCAAAACAGAAGCCTAAAGAATGGGAAAGGGTCTTCACCAACTCCACATCTGGCAGAGGACTAGTATTCAAAATATATAAAGAACCCAAGAAAGTAAATATCAAAAAATCAAGTGATCCAACAAATAATTTTAAAAATGGGGTATATATCTAAATAGAGAGTTCTCAATAGAGGAATCTCAAATGGCTGGGGAAACACTAAGAAATGTTGAACATCCTTAGCCTTCATGGAAATACAAATCAAAACTACTTTGTAATTCCATCTTACACCTGTAAGAATGTCTAAGATCAAAAACTCAAATGACAGCTCATTCTGGTGAGGATGTGGAGCAAGGAGAACACTTCTCCATTTCTGGTGGGATGGCAAACTTGTACAGTCACTATGGAAGTTAATATGGCAGTTCCTCAGAAAATATGGAATCCATCTACCTCAGTATCCAGCTATGGCACTCTTGGGCATATACACAAAGATCACTTCATCCTACCACAAGGACACTTGCTCAGCTAGGTTCATAGCAGCTTTATTCACAATAGCCAGAAACTGGAAAGAACCTAGAGGTCCCTCAACTGAAGAATGGACAAAGAAAATGTGGTATGTTTACACAATGGAATATTAGTCAACTGTATAAAAAGTAAAAAGTGACATAGTGAAATTGGCAGGCAAATGTATGGAATCAGAAAAAGTCATCCTGAGTGAGGTAACCCAGACCCAGAAATACAAACATGGTGTGTACTCACTTATAGGTGCACATTAGCCATTAAGTGATAATCAGAAGGAAGTTCATCAGCAAACAGCACTACTTCCAAGACTTACTGATCAACTTGCCAATGTTAGAAGATGACAATGCCATCCTACTAGAGGCTGGAGGCGTGCTCAGCACTGGGGAGCCGGCTTGCCCACAAACACACAGGAAATCCCATCATTCAACTCAGCAGGCACGTCACTGCAAGTCACTGAAACATAGTCATTCCCTAAAACTAAATGAGATAAATTCAGATGTTGGGCACAAAGGCAGCATATAACAATACACATAACACACCAAAAATTGCAAAGAATAACCAAATCATGACAATATTAAAATATTTAAAGCAGTTCTCCCTCTCTCCCTCCCTCCCTGCTACCCCTCCTCCCTCTCCCTCTCTCTCTTTCTCCCTCCCTTCCTCCCTCTCTATCTCTCTCTGTCTCTCTCTCTGTCTCTCTCTCTGTCTCTGTCTCTCTCTGTCTGTGTCTGTCTCTCTGTCTCTGTCTCTGTCTGTCTGTCTGTCTGTCTGTCTGTCTCTCTCTCTCTCTCTCTCTCTCTCTCTCTCCCTTTAAAGAAAAAACAAAGAGAGAAAGTCTGATCCCCTTAGCTGGTTATTATATTCCTGTAATCCAGTCACCTAGAATAATTTCTACTTGCTTTGTATCTAATCCTCAAAACTCGAGGGCTCTCCCACTAGGAACAATGGTGTACACACAGTTTCCACACTTGTCCCCCTCCCCTGCTGGCTTGTCCTCTGTTTCCTTTCCTTTTTCTTACAGTGTTGAAACCTAGCCAAACATCCAATTACCTTGGAAAGTAAATGGCAGAGGAAAAAGAAGCACCAAGTCTTTGTTGTCATTTTGAGAAGACATTCGAGCTCCCTTTAGAACGAGGAGATCTTTTCTCACTGTAGAGCATGAGAACTGGGGGGAAGCCAAGCTCTTTGGGCAAGCCTGTGTTTGTGAGCGCACAGGTGACAGACAGCACTCTTGTTGCTGGGAAGCCAGAGCTGAAGGTAAGGTGTGTGTGCCTATAAATCCACACCCTTTGCAACGGGAAACATCCAGAGTATAGTTCTAACAAGATCGGTGGGCAGCTCAGGTAAGCAAGCAAAACTTTCAGACTGCTCAGTGTTCAATCTTTCAGTCTCTGCCACATTTCAATGACCAATTGATTGTTTGCTATTTAAAAGTGAGGCTCTTGTTTAAAAGTGGGAAATGAGAAATGAAACTATATTTTGCTGCTGCTGCTACTGACTTGGTTTCCTGTGCTGGCTTCACAGTTTTACTTTTAATTCATAAAAAAAAAAACAGAATTAAGCTAAAATGACTTTTTTTTTAAAGTGCCTGGATGCTAGCAATGTTGCTTCCTTGTTTTTTGTTTTGTTTTGTTAGTTTTATTTTGTTTTTAAGATAGCTTGGTTTCTTTATTTTCATTTCGTGTGCATTTGGTATTTTGTCTTTATGTATATCTGTGTAACGGTGCTGGATGTCCTGGAACTGGCATTACAGACAGTTGTGAGCTGCCATGTGGGTGATGGGAATTGAACTTGGGTCCTCTGGAAGCAGCCGCCAGTGCTGCTAACCACTGAGCCATCCCACCAGACCCCTAAAGTTTTATTTTAAAATACAGAAATTTTTCAATATTGACGTAAATGGCTTGTGTTAAATTTCTTTTCAAAAATACAAATGCTAACTGGCCAGTGTTGCCAAAGCCAGGTGGTAGACATGGAGGTTGGTGCTTCCCAAGGGCATCAGATGCTGCTGTAATGTAGTAATAGGCTGAATTCCTCCAAATGTCTGTCCCTTGCCTGCCCACCTAGAATTAAGGACTCTCAGCAAGTCACACACCGACCAAGGACAGCACCACTCACTCCCAAACAACAATACGGAAGCTATACTGTTCGAGTACAGTCAGTATCTTTTTTGCAACATCTAACAAAGGGTTTTACTTTTGAATATAAAGAGGTACTTAAATATGTAATAAGTACATAAGTACTTGAAATTAAGAACTGTTGGGTTCCTCCTCAACTCTGAACTTGGCCTGAAAATCCACAGATGTGGAAGTTGCACGTTTCTCTTTTCTTGACGTAGATTTCACATATTCATCTGTTCCTAACACCAAGGACGTTCACACTCTCCAGCTTAACTTTTCTTACCTCTTCCTCTTAGATCCCAAAAGATTCTAAAGCAGTTTTGAGCGAGAAGCATGAAGCCTTACAGTCAATCTCAGGGTTTTATTTTTTTTTTATTATTGTTTGCCAGCTGTGGCACATCTTAGACTTTCTAGAAGCTGATGGGACTCTTTTGTAGTTGGCTTTTCAACTTCTCTTCTGCAACTTTGAGCTTGACTGAAGCTGATCTTCACAAGGTGGGCTTTCTACCCCCCGGCTTCCCTGCTAAAACCCACCACAGCTTTCATTCCGTCCTCCAGGCACAAGGTGTCCAGACCTTAACGGAACAGGACGATATTCTAAAATGTCTCATGACTTGATAAACTGTAAGAACTGACACGAATAGTGTTACCTGACATGGTCACCATTTAACAGGACTTTTAGAGCCTGAACCTCCACTGAGCTGTGTCCTCCAAGATCTCAGATGCAATTTTTTTCTGATCAAGGCAACAGAACTTTATTCTTTTCTTTTCCATATTTAAAATTTTTAATTTAAATTTAGATTAGAAACAAGGTTGCTATACAAGTCGGTTCCAGGTCCCTCTCCATTTCCCTCCCCTCCTCCCCTGTCCTCCCACCAACACCCCAATATCCCCTCATTTCCCCAGGGAGGGTGAGGCCCTCCGTGGAGGTGTCCATGGTCTGTCATTTCATCCAGGACAGGGCCTAGACCCTCCCCCAAAAGTTCAGGGTGAGAGTGCACCTCACATTGTTGGATGGGATTCCAAAGTCCGTGTGTATACTCGGGATGGGTACTGATCTGCTGCCCAAGGCTCAATAGATTACCTAGGCCTCCTCACTGACACCCACATTCGGGGGTCTTGATCAGCCCCATGCTGGATTCCCAGGCTGATGCCTGGGATTCAAGAGTTAACCTTTGTCAGGTCAGCTGTTTCTAGGGGTTAAACCAGCCCAGACTTAATCCCTTTGGTCATCAGTCCTCCCTCTCTGTCACTGGATTTCTTGAGTTCAGCTCAGTGCTTAGCCATGGGAGTCTGCCTCTTCTTCCATCAGCCACTGAATGAAGGTTCCCAGACTCTCTGGCCATGGGATTGTAGGCTGGCACTCCCCAGATCTATGTCTAAAATCCATATATGAGAGAGTACATGCCATGTTTCTCTTTTTGTGACTGGGTTACCTCGCTCAGGATGGTTTCTTCTAGTGCCATTCATTTGCCTGCAAATTTCAGGATCCCACTATTTTTTTCTGCTGAATAGTACTCCATTGTGTAAATATACTACATTTTCTCTATCCACTCTTCGGTTGAGGAGCATCTACGTTGCTTCCAAGTTCTGGCTATTACAAATAATGTTGCTATAAACATAGTGGAAAAGATGTCCTTGTTGTATGAATGTGCAGCTTTTGGATATATGCCTAAGAGTGGAGTTACTGGGTCTTGTGGTAGGTTTATTCCCATTTTTCTGAGGAATCTCCATACTGATTTCCAAAGTGGCTGTACAAGTTGACACTCCCACCAGCAATGGAGGAGTGTTCCCTTTTCACCACATCCTCTCCAGCATAAATTGTCATTGGTGTTTTTGATTTTAGCCATTCTGACAGGAGTGAGATGGTATCTCAGAGTTGCTTTGATTTGCATTTCCCAGATGGCTAAGGATGTTGAACACTTTCTCAAGTGCCTCTCAACCATTTTAGCCTCCTCTATTGAAAATTCTCTATTCAGTTCTATAGCCCATTTTTTAATTGGATCCTTTGGTGTTTTGGAAACTTGCTTCTTGAGTTCTTTGTAAACTTTGGAGATGAGCTCTCTGTCATATGTGGGGTTAGTGAATATTTTTTTCCCATTCTGTGGGCTGCCTTTTTGCCTTGCTGACTGTGTCCTTTGCCTTACAGAAGCTTCTCAGTTTCAAAGTGTCCCATGTATTAATTGTTGACCTCACTGTCTGTGCTACTGGTGTTATGTTCAGGAAGCTGTCTCCCATACCAATTCGTTCAAGGGTACCACCCACTTTCTCTTCTAAGAGGTTCAGTGTGGCTGGATTTATGTTGACGTCTTTGATCCATTTGGACTACAGTTTTGTGCATGGCGATAGTCATGGATCTGTCTGCAGTCTCCTATATGCCAGCATCCAGTTATGCCAGCACCATTTGTTGAAGATGCTTTCTTTTTTCCATTGTATATTTTTAGCTTCTTTGTCAAAGACCAGATGTTCATACATCTGTGTGGGTTAATATCAGGGTTTTCAATTCAATTCCATTGGTCCACCTGTCTATTTTTGTGCCAATACCAAGCTGATTTCAGAACTATAGCTCTATAATAGAGCTTGAAGTAAGGGATGGTGTTGCCTCTGGACATAGCCTTGTTGAACAGGGTTGTGTTGGCTATCCTGGGTCTTTTGTTTTTCCATACATAATTGATTATTGTTCTTTCAAGGTCTGTGAAGAATTGTGCTGGTATTTTAATGGGGATTGCATTGAATCTGTAGATTGCTTTTGGCAGGATTGCCATTTTTCTACATTTATCTTACCTATCCAAGAGCATGGGAGATCTTTCCATTTTCTGAGGACTTTTTTTAATTTCTTTCTTTAAAGACTCAAAGTTCGCCGGGCGTTGGTGGCGCACGCCTTTAATCCCAGCACTCGGAAGGCAGAGGCAATCGGATCTCTGTGAGTTCAAGGCCAGGCTGGACCAACAGCCTCCAAAACAGAGAAACCCTGTCTCATAAAACCAAAAAAAAAAAAGACTCAAAGTTCTTGCAATACAGGTCTTTCAATTGTTTGGTTAGCATTACCCTAAGGTATTTAATATTGTTTGTGGCAATTGTAAAGGGTGATGTTTCTCTGATTTCTTTCTCACCCCTTTTATCATCTGTATATAGTAGGGCTACTGATTTTCTTGAGTTGATCTTGTAGCCTGCCACTTTGCTGAAGGTGTTAATCAGCTGTAAGAATTCCCTGGTAGAGTTCTTTGGGTCATTGATGTAAACTATCATATCATCTGCAAACAGTGAAAGTTTGACCTCTTCCTTCCCAATTTGTATCCCCTTGATCCCCCTTTGTTGTCGTATGGCAATGGCTAGAACTTCAAGTACAATATTGAAGAGATATGGAGAGAGTGAACAGCCTTGTCTTGTTCCTGATTTTAGAGGAATTGCGTTGAGTTTCTGTCCATTTCGTTTGATGTTGGCTGTTGGTTTGCTGTATATAGCTTTTATTATGTTTAGGTATGTTCCTGTTATCCCATATCTCTCCAAGACCTTTATCATGAAGGGGCATTGGATTTTGTCAAAGGCTTTTTCAGTATCTAGTGAGATGATCATGTGATTTTTGTTTTTCAGCTTGTTTATATGGTGGATTACATTGATGGATTTTCGTATGTTGAACCATCCCTGCATCTTTGGGATGAAACCTACTTGATCGTGGTGAATGATTGTTTTGCTGTGTTCTTGGATCCAATTTGCCAGTATTTTATTGAGTATTTTTGCATCAATGTTCATGAGGAATATTGGTCTGAAGTTCTCTTTCTTAGTTGTGTCTTTGTGTGGCTTGGGGATCAAAGTTATTGAAGCCTCATAGAAAGAGTTTGGACAAAGACCCTTCTGCTTCTATTGCGTAGAAAACTTTTAGAAGAATTGGTATAAAATGTTCTTTGAATGTCTGGTAGAATTCTGCACTGAGGCCATCTGGACCTGGGCTTTTTTTGGTTGGGAGACTTTAGATGACTACTTCTATTTCCATAGGGGTTATAGGTCTATTTAAATTGCTTATCTGTAACAACGGACTCTGAGGAAATTCAGAGAATCAACAGGTCATACTTTGAAAACCTGTACTCCACAAAATTCAGATGCCATTTTTATACTGTTATAGTCATCAGGTGTTGTGCTGGGACCAAATTGTTGCGTCTTCTGAATCTTTCCATTTCCCACAATTCTTAGTAGAGCTAAATATAGTCAACTCAAACAGAATCAAATATAATAACCATTTATTAAATGTGGGCTAGGAAATTTCATTACCATGGTGGAGTGCACTGCCAAATAACACATGTCGGCAGCAAAAAAAAAAAAAAAAGTTTTAGGAGATTTTAATCAAACATGAAGAATATCTGTACATTTCCTTCCACTCTGTTCTCAAGTGTTTACCTTTAGCAATGTGACAGTACGCAGCAGCTTTTAAGGAGAAGCATCGTAAACTGACGGGAAAGGCTGACTGTTGGAAAGCACGCGGAAGTCACGTGACGGGCAGGGCGCAGAGCAGCCGCATCCGCGTTCTGCTTTGCTTCTTGTCTGTACCCGCAGCACTGTTTTCCACAGCTGAGCTCACTTTGCTATAGAGCTAAGATGATGTTTCCACATAGTCAGCCCAGAAAGACGAAAAGACAAAGAGCCCCTTGTGCGCGCCCACAGTCCGCTTTGCCTTACATGCCGCAGTTTGAAGTTGGTTAATGAAACAGGATCGTGTCTGAGTTTCACTGAGAAGCTGTGCACACCACAGTGACCTCAGGGGCCGCTGGGTGCCCTCAACCTGCCCTTCAATGTCATTCTGTGCCAAGATACCCAGAAATTCACAAACTTAGCATCTACTAAGACGGTTCAGTGTTTTTAAATGCTTTTTAAAAAATCCCAAAAGATTTTATTATGTGAAATTAAAAGAAGAACCTCTTGGCATGGGGTTTGTCTGAATCGAATTTCTCTTAATAGCAGACTGTTGAAAATGACCAGATTCTGAAAATTATTTTCTGCCGTCTAGCTGCTTCTGAGTGACCTTCTAGAAGACACGATGCTACACTCCACTTTGGGCCTCTGCCTCTTGCTGGTCACAGTTTCTTCCAACCTTGCCATTGCTATCAAAAAAGAAAAGAGACCTCCTCAGACTCTCTCAAGAGGTACGGTGACATCACTGGAGTTTCTAAACTCAGTCATTTCAACTGTTCTCAAAATACCTAGTGTATTCATCTATAGTTTGATTATAAGCAAAAAAAACTAGATACTCGTTAAGTGTGACTTTGAAACAGATGTTTATAAAGGGGGATAATCCACTTTAGACAGTAAATTTCAAAGAAATAATGACCCTTGGGGTTGGGGGTTGTTTGCTTTGTTTTCCAAACAGGGACTCACCATGTAGACTTGGCTGGCTTAAACTTGTTATGTAGATCAAGATGGCCTAAAACTCACGGAGATCTGCCTGCCTCTGTCTCCCAAGCATCGAGCTTGCAGGTGTGCACCACTGTGCCTGGCTCAATAGCAGCATTTTGCTGCATCTTTGTAGACATGAAGAACTGACTTGATGTCTGCAGCTCTGACGGACTTTAGACATTTGCCTTTCGCTTCAGCTTCAGAAAGTCTCCTACTGTCTTACACTTACAGTTTTACTTCGGTCTAAGAGACACATAAATCTTCACCTCCAAAATAATAATTAAAAACAGTCCTCAAAATTAGATTTTTTGTTTCCAGGAAGAAAAGTGCTGAGAATTATTTGCCCCCACATATTGATTCAAACAATCACTCTGTGCTTGGCTGAGCGTGTGTACAGTGACAATCCCCTGCAGGCGACTTCCAGGCCATTTGTTTACTCAGATCTACAGAGTGCCGGCCGTGCGTCCGTATTGTTTACCTAAGTGAATGAGTTCAACTTTAGCCTAGCAATCACAATCTGTATGTCGAGAAAGGCGATGTATGCCATTAATAAATAAGGGCAAAATCATGTCCCTGGATACAACTTATTACACAGCTCTCCACACAAACAAACTGTTGTAAAATAAGTACCTGAGTGACCTTGAACAACCTGAGACTAAATTGCTCATTGCTCTTCAAGCCCTTCCACAGTGGAGATCAGTGGCATTGCTATGACTATGGTAGAAGACATTCCTGGGAGCCCATGTAGATGTTGATGGGAAAATCTGCAGAAGGGTTTATTGCGTTTATTTATGGATGTGTCAAAGTCAGAAGACAACCAGCTGAACTTGCTGAATATTCTCTTCTCCCACCATTTGAGTTCCAGGGACCAAGCTATAGTCATCGATTGTGACATTAGCCTGTGTAGGGGAAAAGGGCCAGCCAAAGAAACACCCTGAGCAGAGCCAAAGAAACACCCTGAGCAGAGCCAAAGAAACACCCTGAGCAGAGCCAAAGAAACACACCCCGAGCAGAGCCAAAGAAACACACTTTGGTTCTGCAACCAGAACCAAAGAAATGTACCCTGACCCTAAAACCAGTGCAAAGAAACAGACTTTGTCCCTGGAATCAGAGCCAGTGAAAGAAATGCACCCTGGCCCTAAAATTAGAGCCAAAAGGCTAAAAAGGACCAGAGAAAGAAACACACTTTGGCCCCAAAACCAGCCAAATCTGACCCTGAACCTGTGCAGAAAACCAACCAATCCCTGAGCAGGAGATGTAGCCAATCTGAGGTCAGGGTTTGAAATCTGACCAATCCCCACCCAGGAAATCTTCCTAGGAAAATTCTGCCCCTAAGAAACCCTATATAAACCCTGTGCCTGCTCAGCTCGTGGCTGGCTGGCTGTCCTCTGCCACCCTGGCAGAGGGCAGCCCCTCTCCTGGACACATCCCTCCTAATAAATCTCTTGGATGAGGTTTGGGTGAGATAGTCCTTCACCAAAGGAGAGAAGTAATAACTCTTCTCCAGAGCCAGAGCAGAGCAGAGCTGAGTGAGCTGAGCTGTTAACACTCTGGGGACCTGAGCTGCATAGCAACATCTTCACTGGGAAAACCCTCTCCTGCCAGAGCAGAGCTGTTATGCTGGGGAAGCCTTTCCCTGGATCAGGGCTGTAAGCTGCTACACTTACTGTGACCTGTGCTATTCCTTGGCTCCTGATTGCCAGAGTACTTTCCCATCTGAACTGTAGCACTCAGTATTCTTTGGCTCCCAAGTGCCAGAATCCCTGCCCATCCAGTCCACCGTAATACTTACAGCCTGTTCCTGCCATGCCACCTTGCTGGCCTCCTTTTTTATGGCAAATTTTATGAAAACGAATTGGAGTTCATATGGCTTACTTCAAACAGCTTGATTCTACTACTTCCATTATTGAGGCACTGTTTTAATAGAGAAAATGACTACTGATGCTGCAAGTCACTGTGTTGAGGGCCGGTTTATATTTGGCTGTCAATTCCTATGTAAGGAATGACTGAGAAAATGACAGGTAAAATCAGGAGCCGGAGGAAGGAGTCTGAGCACCCTGTGCGCAGAGCCGCAGAGCCGGGGGGCAGACAGCTCATGGCAGAGATGAGTGGGGAAAGCAGAAGACAGTGAGGAAAAGGAATAGGATTAACACACACACACACACACACACACACACACACACACACACACGGAGATCAACGTTTCCTAACGTCCTTTTAACAAAAGAACACCCAGGACCTGGCCCAATGACTAACATACAGCAGATACTCAATAAATGCACAGCTGGTGAAGGAATAAAATCGCAGAAGACCAAAAAGCATAGCCAAAGCTAGAGACAAAAGTACAGCCATGAATCCAGACCTGGAAGAAAAATTAAGTTCTGTCCCATTTGGCACATTGTGATTATAACCTAGACTGTATGGAAACAGATTCAATACGCTCCCCTGCGGAACTATGGGTATTTGGGAAGTTGTATTATTTTTCTTTATATTCCCAGGGATTAGTGTGTTACAGATGATTTATTAATGTCTATGGAATTCAACTGAGCAGGAAATGAGAACCTCAATGTTTCCATTGCTAAAGCTCTAGTATTTGAGTGACATTTACATACATCAGACGAGAGGAGCTAGAGAGATGGCCCAGCAGTTAAGAGCACTGGCTGCTCTTCCAGGCACCTGGGTTCAAGTCTCAGCACCACAGGGTAGTTCATATCCTCTACAACTCCAGTTCCTTGGAATCTAATTCTGACCTCTGTGATCAACAGGCACAAATATAGTGGATAACAAATACTCAAGCAAAACACCCATACGCAAAGCATTTAAATATAAATAAATCTAAAAACCAAATGCAAGCAAAGAAAAGTAATCAAGGGCTGCTCTCATATTTCTCCAGCAAGATAATGTAAAGTGTGCTAAAGGAACATCAAACCATCTTCCAGGGTCATCACAGAGAAGACAGGTAGGGTGAGGTACCAACACAACAAACACGTCTTCCGATGTTCAGATATTAGGTCTAGCATAAACTAATCTATTATTCTCTCATAATGAGAGATTTGCAGCACCGTAGATTTTCAGGACAAAGTAGCAACTTCTCAGAAAGTTAAAATACATGCTGGATATGGGAACACTCACCTTTAACCCAGCACTGTGAGTTCAAGGCCACCCTGACTCCAGGACAGCCAAAACTACATACAGAGACCCTGTCTCAAAAAAAAAAAAAAAAAAAAAAAAAAAAAAAAAGGTTAAAACACAGTTACCTTTAACTCGGCAATTCCACTCCTCCCCATACTCCCCAAGTGAAATGCATACCCATTCACAAACTTGTTCTTAAATGTTCACCACAACATTTTACGTTTACCACAGCAACAAACTCAAATGTTCATCTACTGATAGATATATAAAAAGTGGTTTCCTAGTTAGGGTTACTGTGGTGAAATATCATAACCAAAGAAACTTGAGAAGAAAGAGTTTGTTCTGTTTACTCTTCCTCATCCCTGATCATCTCTGAAGGAAGTCAGACAGAAACTCAAACGGCAGGAACCTGGAGACAGGAGCTGATGCAGAGGCCTTGGAGGGGAGCTGCTTACTGTCTTACTTCCCGTGGCTTGTTCAGCCAGATTACTCACAGAGCCCAGGATTACCAGCCCAGGGTGGCCCCGCCCCCAATGGGCTAGACCCTCCCCCATCAATCACTAATTGAGACAATGCCTCACAGCTGGATCTTGCAGAAGCATTTTCTCAATTGAGTTTCTCTCCTTTCAGATGGCTTTAGCTTGTGTCAAGCTGACAGAAAATCAGCTAGGATAACTGACCCCTTGTCAGCTTAACACTCAAACATATCACTGTTAAGTCATAACCATTCCTCTCTTGTTCATCCCCAAGACCACACATTATTATCAGCATCACAATATAAAAATGTTACTAACTTCAAAAGTTCCAGTCTTTACAAATTCAAACACTTTTTTAAAAATCCCTGTCTCTTTTAAAACCAAAAAAAAAAAAAATCTCTTTTAAACCGTCTCTCAATCGTGGCCTTCTGTAAAATAAAAAGTAAACTAAATGCTTTCTTACTTCAGGAGAGAAGAACCAGAGCACATTCACAACTAGAACAAAGCAAAAACAATCTCCAATTGTATAAATAACTCAGTGCCCAATATCTGGGATTCACTTATGATATGCTGGGCATTTCCAAAGGTCATGGGCCACTTCTCCAGCCCTGTTGGTCTCCTAGGATCCACCAGTTTCCACTCCACTATTGCTATTGCTTTTGGTGGTCATCCCATGTGCTGGCATCTCCAGAACGCTGTGGTCTGCTGCTGCAACTGGGCTGCACACTTACCAGCAGCCTCTCATAGGCTCTCCTCCTGGTACCATGCCTCAGATTTTCAACTTTCTATCCTGGGTCTTCAACTGTCACTGAGGCTGTACCTTTACTAATGGCCTCTCCTGGCCACTCACAGTGCCAAGCCTCAGCTGTTTCCATGACCCCTCATGCCTTCAGTATCACCCGAGTGGAACTGTGGCTGACTCAGGGAACACAGCTTCAGTGCACTGACTCTCAAGAAACACTTCCCAAAAGATTTCACCTCAGTGATGCTTGTCTCTTCTTAATCACTGCCAATTTCTCAGCTCCAGCTGACCAGCATCAAGCATTCCAGCAAAGCAAAGGTTCCATTTTAGCAGTTCTGGTATCTAGTTATTCAGCTGACTATTCAGCCCCAGCTAACCAAAACCACAGATTCTTCACACAAAAAGCATGACAGAGTCTTTGCTTCCCTCTTAAATTTCAAAAGCCAGGCCCCCATGGTCTACACTGATCTCAACATTCTCATCACCCAAGTTCCTACAGAACAGCTCACTGAGCTCTCAATGCTCAGCTATTTTTCTGACCCCAAGTTCCAAAGTCCTTCAACAGTTGTCCCTAAAACAACACAATCAGGTCTGTCACAGCAATATCCCACTCCTGGTACTAACTTTCTTCACTGCCTAAGCTTGGCTCTATATTATGGGATAATATTGAGCCATAGAAAGGTTATTAAGTACTAATACATGACAGAAGATGTAAGAAGTTTTAAACTATGCTAAGTGAAATTATTCAACCACAGAGACCACATACTGGATATTTCCACTTATATGAAATGTCCGTAATAGGCAAACTATGGGGGTGAAGCTAGATTAGGTGTTTCTTAGAGCTCAGGAAGATCTAGAGAACAGAGGGTAGAAGGCAGATTACACGCACACATATGATTCAGTGCTGCGAAGGTGTCTCAGCAGGTACAAGTGCTTGCTGTCAAGCCTGGTGACCTGAACTCAATTCCCAGAATCCTCATACTGGAAGGAGAGAGCCCATACCCTCGTGTTGTCCTCTGAGCTCCACATTTGGGCTAAGACACTTTATCCCACACACACACACAAACAAATGGATACATAAATGTAATTAGTTTTAAAACACTGTTTGCTTCGAGGTGGTGAGAATGTTCTAAAACTGATTGTAGTGTTGGCCTTGTAACTCTGGGAATATACTACAAAGAATGTGCACTTTCTATGAGTGAATTGAATCGTTTGTGAATAACATCTCAATAAAGGTTATTACCAAAGAACAAATAAAGGAAACAAGAAGAAACAGAATCATGTTTATCTTACTTCATGCTGTTACATACCTGTGGTATCAAATGTAGACACCTCAAGCTGACATTGAACACAGGAAACCTCTAACCCAACCAGCCCCCAAATATTTCTTTCATGAAAATTCAGATTTTCTCATTCATCCCTAGGGTAAGTCCTAAGCACTCTACAATATTCCTGTATGCTCTGGCTCTGTGCCTTCTACTTCTTGAGGGCTTTATTCTTTATCTCTAGCACAAATTCAAAACTGCTTCTGTCTCCTTTTTAGGGCCAGTGGAGTCTCTCTGTAGTCACAGCTTTCTCTTTCCCTTCCATAAGTGTTCCTAGAATGTGTGAATGTGTGTGTGTATGTATATGTGCACGCATGCACACACACATGTGTGTGTTCAAACATGCAGTTCTCATCCTTGAATGTTTTCCAAGTAAAAAGTCAAAGTAGAATTTGGAACTCCTTTTCCTCAGTGTGCACCGTCATAGAAGCAGTCAGCATCCTTTGGTATTTCAGATACAAAGGGCACGTTGTAGTATAGTCAGAAGGACTCTTGGCAGTTTTGTAGAAGTATGCTGATAACTGCTATTTCTCATACAGTCTGAAAGGTGGAGCTTTTGCATGGCCAGAGATGTCTTCTCAAGCACCTTGTCCATCACCCAGTACTGATCAATGGGTCAAGTTTTGATGCACACTCCCAAATTCCCCAGAGTACAGTCTGATAGGGCACCCCATCTTTGTATCCAGATATAATGTACTATCTTTTACACTGCATGTCAGGCAACAGCTTTGGAGCTGTCATACGTCTATAGATTGGCATCTGCTCATCAGACAGAGAGCTGTAGCCCTGGAATAACACATTGATGTCTCTCTTCTTCAGGATGGGGAGATGACATCACTTGGGTACAAACTTATGAAGAAGGTCTCTTTCATGCTCACAAAAGGTAAAATCCCTCTCAGGTACAGTTCACGCACCACCATTTCTTATGTCTCATGGAAGAACTGAAAGCAGTTGGGTTAGCTTCTGAAAGAATACAACAGCTCTTGCTCTGTTCTTGTATGCTGTGTGACGTCACAGTTGCTATTACAGTAGTGTTTTAGCTACTCTTCTCACTGACCAGAAGCAATTTAAAGGAAAAGGATTTATCCTGGGTCCGGATTCGGGGACAGCGTCCATCATCGTGAGGAAGGCGTGGCAGCAGAGGCAGCAGGTTACCTCACACTGGCAGTCAGCAAACAGAGAGTGTGGCCAGATGAAGGCCTCATATAACATATGAGGACTGCCCACCAGCCCCCCATTGTCTGCACCTTCCAAAGGCTCCACAACTTCACAAAACCACACCCCCATCTGGGGAACAATTGTTCAAACAAACAAGTCTACAGGGAGGGAACATTTCACATGCAAACCATAACAAATGGTATTTTTTAGTTGTAAAAGCTCTAAATGACTCCGTATGAATTTCTTTAATTATGCGGGCAAACTTTTAAATGTAAGCTGTATGAAGAAGATGGTGCCACTCACTGGGCACTATGCAGGCTTACTAGGAAAGCCATTCACAGGCACAGTCCTCCAGACAGTCAGACACCTTAGGGAGCTTTATTTCACACTCATTTATAGTTAATCAGCCCAGTACTAGTTGAACATGATCCACTATGTGTCAGGCACTGGTCCAGGCTCAATGACCAAATGTTACTTCATTTTTTTCCTTAAAGATCTGCTAAATCTTCTGGAGAATTTATCAAATATCTGATGAACATTCATTTCCCACTAAAGTGAAAATACATAAAATTAAATTAAAATTGAGTTAAATGCTCTCAAAACAATAAATATTAGATTAAAAACCTCATTTCCAAATATGAGTATAAGAAAAAATACACGAACAAATTATAGCCCCAGAACATGTAAAGCATCTGCCCAGATAGGGTAAGATTCCATCTGGAGATTCTAGGAAGACTAAAGACTAAGAATTCATCTGTTATAGAAGTCAATATTTAGAGCTGGTGGTGTAGCTCAGCTGGTAGAGTTCTAGCAGACAGGCAAAAGCCCCAAGTTAATCCTCGTTGTCACATAAAATGAGTGTGACAGAGCACACCTATAATGCCAGGAGCAAGAGGATCAGAAGTTCAAGGTCATCCGCAGCTATGTAGTGAGTTCAAAGCTAGTCTGAAATCCATGAGACTTTGTGGAGACAGGTGGATTCCTGGAGCTCACTGGGCAGTCAGCCTAGATGAAATGGCACACTTCCAGCTCAGGGAAATCCTGCCTCAAGCTTACCAGGTAGGGCATTGATGGAGGATGACAATGACATCCTGCTCTGGCCTCTTCATGCACTGCATGGATGTTTGCAAATACACACTCAGGTGCATGTGCCACATATACATACACACCACACACAACACTCATGTGCATATACTGTATACACACACCACACGCAACACCCATGTACAGCATTCACCTCATACACACACATCACATTCGGCACTGATGTTCATATACCATATACTACACACACAACATGCAACATCCATGTACATGCTCCATCTACACACAACACTCATGTGCAGCATTCACCACATACACACAATGGCACACACAACACTAATGTGCATATACCATGTATGTATACCACACACACAGATTTGTGCATCAAATAGATCAAAGAGGATATTAACAGGGAAGCTTTTTAATATTTTGAGGCAAACCAAAGTGGAAAGTCAACATACTAAAACTTTATGCAATGTAGTATATACAATTCAAATAGGGAAATTTCTGAATAAATATATTTGTCTTTTTTATTTTCAAAAAGAAAGTTCCAAATAATCTAATATTGTGCCTTAAAGATGCTGTTCATTCCCCCTCCCAAAGATAGAAACTAAGGACAAAATTAGTAGATAAAAACCAAAGCAGATGTAAGCAAAAAAGTAATCAAGAATACAATGGGCAGGACCATACCAAGAAAAGCTGAATTTTCATTTATTAGAAGAGATAAAACCAATACAGTAGTAAATACAAGAGCAAAGAAAAAGAAGGGATTCTAGTAAAATCGGAATGAAAGGGAGAAATGACAAATGGTATCACAGAGGATGGAGAAGTGACTCCGTAGGCAAGGGCACTACTGCTCTTCCAGAAGAGCAGAATTCAACTTCTAGTACCCATGTCCTGTAACTCCAGATCTAAGGGTTCCAGCAGCCACTTGTAACCTCCCTCAGTACCTGTACACACACACACACACACACACACACACACACACACACACACACACACACAAAAATAAAAGTAAAAATAAAAGAAGAAAACACAACCACCATCACAGAAATGGTCATCAGAGACTATTGTGAACAACTATATAAGTTAATAAATAGTCTAGCAGAAACATAAATTCCCATACTTCCTATATACATAAAACCATAAAGATTTAATCATGAATAGAAAATTTGGACAGACCAGTAGAGAAATTTTATTCCTAATTTTAAAGCCTTCCACCAGAGTAAAGCCCAATATCTGATGGTTCTGTTCTGTTCTGTTTTGTTCTGTTCTGTTCTGTTCTGTTCTGTTTTGTTTTGTTTTGTTTTGTGTTTTTGAAGCAGCATCTCAGACATCCCAGTTGGCCTCAAGCTGTTCTCCTGCCGAAGAACCCCATATGCTGGTCTTATAGCTCTGTGATAACACTCCCTGCTGCCTAAAAAGCTACTAGAGAATTAATATTAGCCATCTAAAAAATGGTGGTCTGAATAAAAATGCCCCCATAGGGGCTGGAGAGATGGCTCAGCGGTTAAGAGCACTGACTGCTCTTCCAGAGGTCCTAAGTTCAATTCCCAGCAACCATATGGTGGCTCACAACCATCTGAAATACATGCAGGTAGAACACTGTATAAATAATAAATAAATCTTTTTTTTAATGCCCCCATAGACTCATAAGGAGTGGCACTATTTGAAAGGATTAGGACATATGACCTTATTGAAGGAAGAATGTCATGGGCTCTGGGGTTTTAAATGCCAGGCCTCGTGTCTCTCCTCCTCCTGCCTGTGGGGTGGAACTCTCAGCTCCCTCTCCAGCTGAGTGCCACCATGCTCCCCACCACGATGACAATGGCCTAAACCTCCTAATCCAGAAGCCAGCCCCACTTAAATGCTTTATTTTAAAAGAGTTGTCATGGTTATGGTGTCCCTTCACAGCAATAGAACAATGACTAAGACACCCTTGATGAGCACAAACGGAAAAATTCTTAACAAGATTCTAGCAAATAGAATTCAACAGCATATTAAAAACATCAGTAGCTGCGGTTGAATAGGTTTGAACTCTAGAATGTAGGATCAATCAACACATCTCAATAAGCATGACAGCCCATATTAACACAATGAAGAATCGCATGATCTCTCAGTAGATACTGATGAGCATTGGACAGAACTTAACATCCACTCACAGAAAACTAGCTCCGGAAGGGCGGCCCCTCAGCACAAGAACCATATGCCCTTAGATCACAAGCCCAGCAGAGAACAGCTGAAAGTTTTCCTCTAAGAACAAGGACAAGAGAGCCCACTCTCAGCACTTCTTTTCCACACGGAATCTCTGGATGTCCTGAGCAAGCAAACTAAGCAAGATAAAAACATAAAAGGCATCAAAAGAGAAAGGTAATTAAATCATTCCCATATGCACAGGAAATGACTGTATTACATAGAAAACTCCAAGGGCTATTAGAGCTCATAAAAGATTTCAGGTAAGCAAACACAAGAAACCAATATTTCTGATTATATGGCTTTCCTGCATAGCCACATGCAATGGGAGGAAAGACAAGGACCAAGGCGGGGGAAGGGAGGGAACATATACATACATATACATATACATATATATACATATACATATACATATCAAAAGTGAATTTCTCTCACATGAAGTCTATAAAATGAAAAGAGACATCTCACGTCAGCACAAGCAAATGAGTGAAGAATACAATAGTCCAGAATAATACACAACTGGAAAATATGGGAACTATTTTGTATGAAGCTAAATGGCAATAATCTCTTTTCTTTTTGCACACGGAGTAAAATAATTTAAAAGCTGACCTTGTAACAGAGGTACAAGGTGTTTCCTGCAAAAGAGACCATGAACTGGTACATCTTCAATGGAGAATAAACCAACAGTATGAATGCACATACTCTTTGGTACACAAAAATCTGCTTCCGGAAATGTATTCACAAATATGCACACACAGATGCAGAATCATACACAAAGAACAACCTCTTCTACATCAAATCAGTGCTTATTCAGATGCAAGTGGGAGGTTGGAAATGATTTCAATATCCATTTCAAGGGGATCAATCTGAGAAGTTCCAGTATATTTAGTGGAGTACTGTATTTTTTTTAACTACAGAATAATATCTAAGACATAATTTATATTGAAAATACTCAGATACATGTTTGCAGTACTATTTTCATTTTTTAACTTTAGAGGGGTTTCCCTAAATTGCCTATCTTGTGTTTTTTAGGAGCGCACACATACATATATGCACACAGGGTTTTAAACAAGTCTGTGGTTGCAAACAAGACACCCACACTTGGGAAATTGGCCCCCTCACCTCTGGAAGATGGAATGATACCACTACTTACTTATGAAAGACAGATCTGGGAGGAGGAACTTCTACCTTTTCAAGTTTTAAGTCAAATGAATTTAAAATTGATTTTATAAGGGAAAATGCACAAATTGAAAAGGCAATCTACCAAACGATGATAAGTAATGAGGCCCCGGGCAGCCTCTGATTTCAGAGTCCCAAATACTCCCTCTCCCCCACTCATGCCTCTCACAATTGAACTAGCCATTTCATAAGTTCAGGGATCACAGATTCATACATAAGAAATTACTTTTACTTTAAAATATGGGTAAAATAAAGATATAGTATTTTGTAATGTGAAAATGACACTAATCCCACATTTTAGTGTTCACAACTGAAGTTGTGTTGAATCACAAATACTGCTTTTAGTACTTCTCCATGACAATGGTGGGGTTAAGCACTGCGAGTGAAAATGTGGCCACAAACCTGCAGGTATTTACTCTCTTCTACTGAAGAAACACGGCAGAACAAAAAACTTGAAGCCTTCTTTTAGGCTGTAGTTACCTGAGTTTCTGCCAGAGTCTCTCTGCTTTTCTTTCAACGGAATAACAGCTCACTTGCAAACTGTTAAGAGTGATTCTTCTGATGTAGAGTTGTTTTCCCCAGACTTTCTTCAATCACCCTCAAGCACAGCTGCCACTTCAAGATGTCTGTAGAAACTGGGAAGAAGGGATAGCCAGTCAGGGAAGCAGAGTGGCCAATGCCCCTGCCTGCTCTGCCTCAAGATGCCTACCCGCACTGATGATGGTCAGAAGATCTGTCTAACAGAAAACCTACTTCATCTGATGCATACAAGGCTGAATATAGACCTACCTGTGATTGCATCACTAAACATCTTGGACTCAGGAGGTCTGACTCTAGCTTGAACTGCCTGTGTAGGCCTCATTGAATACTTTTAGGCTTAGCTCGCTGCTCCTAAGAAGTGGGTATGACATTTCATTCATCACAGCTCAATCTGTAATAGCTCAATAGTATTGTCTGATGCTGGTGAATGACAGCCTTCTAATTAGCCCATAAATCCTAAAAGTAAGTTGGAAGGGTCTTATCAAAAATGTACTTCTAATCCAAGTTTGAGAAGTAAAATTAATCATTCAAAGTTTGAGTTTAAAATTTTTTGAGGCTAAAAAAAATTTCTGGATATAATTACATTTTGTAATTACTTTTGAAAAGATTTATGCTGGCCTGGGAATGTAGCCAAATAGTAGAGTGCTTGCCTAGCATGTCCACATTAAGTAATCAACTAATGCATAAAAATTTTTGTTGACTAAATATGTCCTAAAATCACCCTCTTCTGATGCCCATGATTAGCTTATTATTAAAGCCATATTTGCAAAATCATCCTATAATCTACCTTAGTCAATTTTGTGTTTCTGTAATCAAATATATTAGACTGGGTAATTTGTAAAGCAAAAAGGTTTTACTTAGCTCCGGAAATTCAAGAGCATGGACATCAGTGTCTGCCTGTCTCTGAAGAGGCCTCATGGCATCACAGGATATGACTGTATGCAAAGAGGATTAAAAGATTGCAGCCTCACAGCAACACATTCTTGTGGGAAGTAGTCCTGTCTCAGGAGACTAGATCGCCCAGGAGATATGTTAACATGGTCTTGAGGACAGAACCATTATTTACCCTTATTATTATCTACAGAGCCATTAGCCGCCTTCCTACCCTGAAATTTTCCACCACTTCACCATTCCACTGGGGCCCTGTTTCCACCACAAGAACCTTTGGGGAAAAGGTGAAACCTAAACCGGGCAAATGCCTACATCATACTCACTTTGCTCCTGTAATTACTGTTCTCACTTTGCTCTTTGACTAGAGTTAGGGAATAAGTTAGTTAGTATAACCAACTATTTTATAGTCAAAATCAAAGTGACCCTGAAAAAAGGAATTAGTAGAAGACTCTCAGTTGAGTTATTGTAAATTTAGGTCAACCCAGGAATGGAAGGACGTAAAACTGGTCAAATAGGACTACTTTGTAAAAACTTAAAGATAAACCAAGAACATTTTAAGTTGACTCTTCTGAAATCACCTACCATGCTTTCATTAGAAATAACTTTGTTTTTGGCATCCCTTGAGCCTGGAGATAGCATTATTCTCTAATTATCTACATGCTACAGTGGGCCTAAGTGTCACCTACTACTCTAAGCTATGGTTCCTGTACCCCACACAAATTCTGACTCACTGTGAGCTGATGTTTATAATCCTGTACTTGGTGAGTTCTGGGGCCACACACTGGGTGTCACTACCTAATATAGGCTTCACTGCCATGAAGTGTAAGTCTGAGATTTTTATTTAAGTATTGTAAATAGTACCAACAATTTAAATCTAATTCTATTTTATACTTTTATTCAACATTTATCTCTTAACTTCTCTCTGTGCTCTCTCTGTCTAGTAACAAGCCATTGATGGTTATTCACCACCTGGAAGACTGTCAATACTGTCAAGGTAATTTTTGTCTATGGGGATCTTACTGTATTTCTTTCCAACATGAGGTAGAAGCGAGCTTACAAGAATTGTTCAGAAGGCACACAGGCAAATCTCATCTTAAAAATGTAATTCCCAGACCACCACCATTTGACCAAGATGCTTAAAGACCACGCGAAAGCCATCTAGGGGTGCCCTCTGGTAACTGCAGCAGAGTCAGAGGTAAACCTGGGCTAAGTAGTGAGACACACAGATTACAGTGAAGACCACAGATGGCAATAATCGCCAGGTGGTGGTGGCACATGCCTTTAATACCAGCACTCAGGAGGCAGAGACAGACGGACCTCTGTGAGTTGGAGGCTAGACTGGTCTCCAGGGTTAGGGTTAGGGAAAGGCTCCAATAATACAGAGAAACACAGTCTTGAAAAAAAAAAGATTACACTGATTGTTCATTTTTGCTGAATGTGAAACTATGATGTGCTCTTGGGAATGTAATGCTTTCTAAAAGAATCAAAGTGATTAGGAAAACTGGCTAACAGAAATTGTTCTAACCAGTGAGTTACTGAGCAATGGAAACTATAAAGCTAGTGTCTTCATTAACGTAATTGTCCCTTGACATCTCCATGGACATGCTCTAGCTCATAGATTCCCAGTGAGGGACTAAATGGTAAAGGACAACAAGCCATTTGCAGGCATGTCATTGACCGGCATGACAGAAAACACACTGGCTTTGATACTGTATTGACAATGTCTTGACCCTTTAAGCTAACTGACGTTTTTCTCCCCCGCAGCACTAAAACAGGAATTTTCCAAAAATGAAGAAATACAAGAAATGGCTCAGAATGGTTTTATCATGCTGAATCTCATGGTACATGAACTCAACAGTGTTTTCTTAATGCTGTAACTTCATAGAAATTCTTAACTCCTTTTTTTTTTCTTCAAAAACATGCAGGGTCACGTATTAGTTACTACAGAATTTTAAAAGGCCCTAAAGCATAACTTATTGAAAATTTAGTTTCCACAAAGAAAGCTACACAGTCCAATATTGTTCATTTGTTTCATCTTCTTCTAGCACGAGACCACAGACAAGAACTTGTCACCTGATGGACAGTACGTGCCAAGGATCCTGTTTGTTGGTGTGTGTGCAACTTCATTCGTCAGGGTTGCAAAACTAGCAGGGATCTCAGTATTCTTGCTTCCATTCGATTGGTTTTGAGGCTCTAACTTAAGCAGTACTCTTTTTAAAGGAGGTCATTTCTCACCCAATCAATAGTATTGTGTTCTTAGATCTATAGCCAAAATTCACGATATTACTTACAGATTTTAACATTTAAAAGCGACTCATGCTGTTAAATCAACTTACCGATGCACTTTCAGAACAATATCCCAAGATAGATTAAAAGAGAACCATGTCCCTGAAAAGGACCGTGGGCTAGTCCATCATGGATTCACATGATGAGAACTAACTTTGCTTATAAACACGCCTGACCTTGGTTTTAGAGTGGGAGAATGAACAGCATTAAGACCATGTTAAGCGGTGTTTGAGTGACTTTGTTTTGGATTGTTTTTTAACAGACCCTTCTCTGACTGTCAGGGCTGATATAACAGGAAGATACTCTAACAGACTGTACACATATGAACCTCAGGACTTACCTTTGTGTGAGTATTTATAAATCACACCAGGCAGTGGTGACGGCTGACTCTGACTACCAAAGGGTCAACGGGGGCTTATGTCAATACTATCCATGATTCCAATCTCTGGTGCTAGGCATGGTATTTAAAATGCAGACTCACAACTCCCTTCCCCTCTCAAAACAAAAACCTTATCAGAGGACTCAGAATCTCTGTTTCAGTGGGGTTGCCTATATCTTCCAAAGATCACTGAATTATGACATCAGTAAGAACTTAGGACGAATTAAAATCACACAAACATTAACAGAGAGAGTTCTGTCTGCTGGTGTCAAAGACCCCATGTGCTTTTCTCAGATGACAATTTTGCCTGTCTTAAATGCCTATAAATAGTGAGATACAAATTTACTTGGGACTTTAAACATTTTTAATAACAGTCACTATTAACCACATTTAAGAAGATGGTATTGGTCTCAGATCCAGAAATACTGTATAAATTCAATAACTAACTAAAAAGAAAACCCTCTCAAGACTCCCTGAATAGAACTGTTTATTATAAATGAGTCTGATGAGCCACCTCTGGTTGATGTAATCCCTGAATAAATGTTCTTTTAGCTTATACTATAGTATGCTAATGAGCCAACTAATATAAAAACTGAACAATCCAATGTTCTATCTTGCCATTTAGATTATAACACTCACTACTTTCATTTGCTAAGAGCACACCTTGTGTTTCCTCCTGCTTCAGTGGCAGACAACATGAAGAAAGCACTAAGACTTATCCAGTCGGAGCTGTAAGGAAGATGAAAAGATGCTTCAACTCTAAGAAGTCAAATGTGAGACAAAAAGCAAACGCAAAATGTATAAGTACCTGGACATTAATATTTAGAGTTGTGAACATGTCTGCGCCAACTCATGAAGGTAAAATCGTATTCTAATAAACGTCGAAATGTGTGATAACGCTGCAGTTTGGTGTTTACCTGTATCACTAGACAGTTTGCCATGAGCTCAGAGTTGCTAGGCTCTGTGCATGAAATGTCCCCACTGCCTTGTGTTTTGGAGGCTTGCTACTCAAATGCTAAAGAAGTTCTGGAAACTTCAGAAGGTGGGATCCAGCTAGAGGCTACAGATCATGATAATAGCTCATTGAGAGTATTTCCTCCCTGCTGCCTTCTTATCTTGCTCTCTACTTCCTATTGACCAAGATGAGGAGCCTCTGCCACATACTTCTCCCCCCCACAACTGTTCTGCCTAACATGGGCCCAACTGGCCATGGGCCAAACCCTCTGAAACCCTGAGCCAAAGAAGAGTCCTCCTCCCTTATGTTCATGTGAAACACTTTCATTACTGCAAACAGAAACCAATATGGCCCATATGAGAAGTCCCTATCATGTCTACTTCCTCGGTTCTTCTCCACTTGGTTCACTAATCTAATTTTATATCCACCCTCAGCAGTGGGTCAAATCCACTGCTGTGGAAAATCAGTGACTTCCTTGTGACATGCTTGGACATTCAGCAGAATATTTCAGACTTACTTATTTTCCACTTTAAATAAGATAGGCATTTGAAAAATAATTCAAATCAGCTTAGAATGTATTTTAAACTTCAACTCCCTGTTCTCCTTAATTACTGGGTAGATACTTTAAATGTTTAACGTTTTAAGGAAAATGAAATTGCCTCGGTAATATTAAAGAATTTCTCCACAAAATTACCAGGAAAGGATGATATACTCTCCTGGAAACTATCCGATGACCAATTTTTTTGTTTGTTTTTTTCGAGACAGGGTTTCTCTGTATTGTTTTGGAGTCTGTCCTGGAACTCGCTTGGTAGACCAGGCTTGGTCTCAAACTCACAGAGATCCACCTACCTCTGCCTCCCAAGTGCTGGGATTAAAGGCATGTGCCACCAACGCCTGGCTGCGACAACCAATTTTTAATCTAGTTCTTCACAGACAATGCCAGAAGATCAATAAAATGCTGCATGTTCTTTTAAATAACAAGCAATTATATGGAGGCAGGAGATCTCTAGAAAGACTCTGGTTGCATTTTGGAGGTGTCTGGAGAGAAAAAAATGTACATGGGCTCGATACACACTGTCTGATACACATGTCTGACTGACCTCAAGATCTGATGAGTCAGAGAAAGATTGCTCCAGGTGTCATTTGGTCACCATCCTATTTGTTTTAAATACCTTTAGTAAACTGATCTTCTTGGATATAAATAGATTTCATGACTTTTGACACTATGTATCCATTTAATTTATGTACAAAAGACATGAATACACACACACTCCCCCGAATCAGAGAAGAGAGAAGACCAGTGCATTTTAATATTAGCATTTACTTAAACACTTATTTTAAAACTAAGATGTAAAATAAAGATGAGATACTTAATATTCTATCAATGGGTAAAGATCAAAGAAATACCATTGATTTCATTGCTGATTACATAGGAAACAGGGGGGAAATGTCAGTAGTAATTTGCTATGACCTACAGGAGAGATTCATTGACACCTTAGCTTCAATATCTATGTATATATTTTTTTCACTTGCTTTTATTTAAAGTGAATTGCACTGAATAATAAATTGACTTTTCTCTGTAATAAAATGTATATTTATTTACGCATACATTTAATATAATTCATTTTAAATGTTTTTCCAATAATTGATAAGTATTTTGAAATCCCTAGTACTGGGTCTCTCCACTGATGCAATAAGTCAGATCAGGCCATATTAATAAGACCAGGTTTAATCTGAGCAAAGCAACACCCAAGTGATTCTTGGGGAAAGAAAGCAGGGGAGAAATCACGGCAGGTCTAGGGACTGGGTCTTAAATACCCTGCATGCAAGGTCTTGAGTAGCTCTGGGGGAGGAGCCACCACTTGGTGGGTTTCTGCAGATAGGGTCTGGAGGGGGCGGGAGCGGGGCATCCAAAGTGGAAAACCCAGCTAAACATCTGGGCGGGGTTTGGAATGGGGCCCAAGCTGGAAATTCCCAACAATAATTATATTAATAAATATAGTTTTGGAATCTTCTATTTCCTCTAAACTCGTTTAATGTTTAAACCCTGTAGTCTGGTTGATGTTTGTACTTAACATCATCACTTCACAAAATATATTCCATATATTCCTTGGATCCAACTACTGGATTTGCTTCTGCATTTCATATCTAGAACTACTCATCAGCATCTGGGACTAGGACACTGGAGGAAGGAACATGCATAACCTCTTTCCAATTTTTATGTCTATAACTTTCAAAAATTATTATCCTTGACATACTCAATACTAAGAAAACATTACTAATACCAACTCTCTGAAACTGTATATACAATTCTTTGTAAGTGGAATTTGTATAGAGAATTACATCCCACACAAAGAACTATAGACATCTAAGGAAAACTGAGAACAGGAGAAATAGACTTCCCCAGGTAAGAGAGCATTCACTGGTTAGCCAATACCAACCATTCAGCTCTGAACACATAAAGAGAAAAACATTGTGCACACTGAGCAGGTTGTACGCTGTTTAGTAATATATGCACATATACATGCATGTATGTGATAACAGTTAATGAAAAATAGAGGCCGTGAATTTTTTTCTTTTAAATTTTCTATTAACTTTACATACCAACCACAGTCCCCCCCTCCCATCCTCCCAATCACTCCCACCTCCCCCTCGCCCAACCTCAGAAAGGGCAAGACCTCCCTTAGTGAGTCAACAAAGCCTGACACATCAAGGTGAGGCAGGATCAAGGAACCACCCCCAGCCCCCCACTCCATCTACCATTCCCCCTCCCCCCTCTCCACCATCAAGGCTGAGCAAGACATCCCAACATAGTGAATGGGCTCCAAACAGCCAGTCCATGCACTAGGGATAGTTTCTGGACCCACTGCCAGGGATTCTACAAACAGACCAAGCCACACAACTGTCACTCACATGCAGAGAGCCTTGTCCAGTCCCATGCAGGCTCCCCAGATGTCCAGGCCACAAATTCTACTTTATTTGGGGGGGTTCAAGACAGGGTTTCTCGGTGACTTTGGAATCTGTCCTGGAACTCGCTCTTGTAGACCAGGCTGGTCTTGAACTCACAGAGATCCACCTGCCTCTGCCTCCTGAGTGCTGGGATTAAAGGCGTGCGCCACCACAACCGGTCCAGGCCATGAATTTTAAAGAGAGCAAGGAAGGGTACATGGGAGAGTTTGGAGGGAGGAAAGAAAAGGAGAAATTATGTCATTATATTAGAATCTCAAGAAAATAAGACATAACTTTTCTCTTACTAAAAATATTTTCATGTAATATATTCTAATTACAGTTTTTTTTCCTTCCCCCCCATACCTCCCCATTCCTTCCCACCCATGCTCCCATCTGGACCCTCTGCCTTTCTGTCTCCTCTTAGAAAACAAACAAGCATCTAAGAAATAATAAAATAAAACAAACAAAAAATCAGAATAGAATAAGACAACAAGCAAGAAAACGATCCAATAAAAAAGCACAGGGAACACATATAGATTTAGACACATACACTTTCCCACACACAGGAAACCCATAAAAAACACAAAATTGGAAGCCATGATATGTACACAAGGACAAGAATGACTTAAGTAAACAAAACAAACAAAAAACTCGCTGTGGTGGCTTGAATGTAATTGGTCCCCAGAGTCTCATAGGAAGTGGCACTATTAGGAGACGTGGCTTTATTGGAGGACGTGGGTCACTGCAGTGTCAGGCTTTGAGGTTTCCTAAGCTCAGGATACCGCTCAGGGTCTCAGTCAACTTCCTGCCGCCTGCAAGATGTAAGACTCTCACCTACTTCTTCATCACCATGTCTGCGTGCGCCCCACCATGATGATGATGGACTGGACTTCTGAACCTGTAAGCAAATCACCATAATTAAATGTTTTACTTTATAAGAGTTGTCGTGGTGGTCTCGGCGTCTCTTCTCAGCAATGGAAACCTTTAGACATTCCCTAACAAAGCTACAAAGAGCCTCCAACGAGGCCACTGAGTTCATGTTCTGTGGGCCATCTTCTACTGGGAATTGGGTCTCCCTTAAGAGTGGTTTGCTTTCCCAGTGAAGCTCCACTGGAGAAACCTAAATCTTTATTTACAAGTATTTATCAATTGAGATAGGTTCAGTGTCAAGGATGAGGGTGACTTTCCATTTCTCCTTTCAGCTCTAGGATCCCATTGGATCCCATGAAGGCCCATGCATGCTGCTTCCGTGTCTAAGTTCACATGTGCACAGCCCTGTGTCTGTAAGTTCACATGTGCACAGCCCTGTGTCTAAGTTCACATGTGCACAGCACTGTATCTGTAAGTTGACATGTGCACATCCCTGTGTCTGTAAGTTCACATGTGCACAGCCCTGTGTCTAAGTTCACATGTGCACAGCCCTGTGTCTGTAAGTTCACATGTGCACAGCCCTGTGTCTAAGTTCACATGTGCACAGCCCTGTGTCTGTAAATTCACATGGGCACCCTTTTGGGGTTGAGTGATCCAAGGTCCCTCACTCTCTGCAGAATGTCTGGCTGTGGGTCTCTGTGTTTTTTTTCATCTGCACCCATAGGCTTCTCTGACAGTTGCTGAGCAAGACACTGATCTATGAGTATAGTAGAATGTCACAAGGAATCATTTTATTGCTATGTTCTTTCAGCAGAGCAATAGTATTTTTTCCTCCTAGGTGCCTGGTCTATCCAATCTCGGGTTCTTGATCATCCAAGCAGTATTGATTATGGGCTCCATCTCATGGCGCTGGTCTTAACTCAAGTCAGATATTGGTTGCTCATAAGCTTTGCTCCACGATTGCACCCATGTGTTTTGCAGACAAACACTATTACAGGTCAGAGTGTGTAGCTGGATCTGTAAACACCTTTCTCCTTTGGTAACATGAAGAGCACCTTTCAATACCATGAATGCTCCATGGACACAAAGGCTCATTGTAGACATCAGCTCGACTTCCCTATGT